TTAAAAAACCATGCAAAAAATCAAAATCAACCTTAAACTAATAATATTTTCTTTACTTGGATTTGTTTTTTAAAAAATTTAAAGGCAGTACTAGAATAATTCTTTTGATCAAATTAAATTTATTGGCATAAAAAATGATCGTTTTAATAGTTAAAATTAGTGTTAATAATGATTTTTTCTTTATTTTTAGAATACGATGATGTTTTCTCTTTTTTTTTAAACTATGAATTTTAAATAAAAAAGAAAAAATAAAGTTTTGAATTAAAATTAATTTTTTTTGTTAAACTTAAAAAATTAAGGGAACCCATTTCCTCGACCTTTTTTTAAAAAAAAACAACTACCTGTTTGGTCTTCTAAGGGCAAAAAAAAAGAAGAACATCCATGAACATTGAGTCCATAATGAGGGAATCCACAACGTGTTTTTGCATGGTAAAGCATCCATACCTTTTAAAGTATTGTCAACGTGTCAAACACATTTTGTGTAACAAGAATTAACTTTATTTTTATGATTAGCTATAGACTATACGTGGGCCTGTGTTATGTCATAGGACAGTATTATTTTTTATAAAAAAATATGTTCTGATACCACTAGCACGCTTTGAAGAAATAAAAAAAAATTACAACTGGGATTATAATATTACAACTTGGATTATGATATTGTTTAATCATGTAAGTTGGTTTTATTTAATTAAATAATAAAAAATAAGTTATAATAGTAAAAAATAATAATTTTTTAAAATTACAATAACTTAGTAGAAAAACCTTTTTATATATATATAAAAAACAATATACTCCAACTTTCTGCCAAATAAATATGAAAAAATAAAATTAAGTAAATAAAATTTAAATTTTTTTAAAAATATAATTTTAACTATGTTTTTAAATATTATTTTTTATTTTGATTATAGCATCTTAAACATACCTAATTCTTTCATTGCATTATATAATATAATAAATCAGCAAGTTGTTATGAAACTGTGAATTAAATAAAGTTACATGAAAAACCAAAGACATTCCCCTTCGTTTTTGTCAACACCAAGTCATTCTAACAGCAAATGAAAAATAATAAAATCTGACCCATTAAGAAAAAATGGACCCAACTTCATCTATTGTCGCAAGAGTTGACTTAACCTATTTGGTAATATATTTTAAAAAAATATTTTTATTTTAAATTAATATATTTTATATATTGATCTTAAAAATAATTTTTAAAAACTAAAAAAAACTATTATTATAATACTTTAAAAAATTATTATAACTATGTTTCCAAACACAGTTATTTGAGTTTTTCAGTTTTGAATTTGTATCCCTCTCATTCTTAACGGCAACCTTCCAATTCAGAAGTGCACCTCACAATCTCTTTTAACTTGATGATAATAATAATAATAAAAATAAAAATACAAAAAAATCTCTTGAACACCGGTTAAACAAGTCTAGTTTTTAAAAGATAATTTATTCTTTTCATAGTACTTTTAAAATGCAAAAAAACCTGCTTCTCCTTGATGAATCTAATAATAACCAACGTACATTCTGAAAAGTTCATATTACCTCAACAGCTGGTTCATGATTTTTTTTATTTTTTGAAATTAACGGTAAATTCTCTCACATTTAAGTTAACAATGTTTTTCCCTTCGGAATTAATTGCTGTTGTCACAAAGCAATTAAATCACTGGCCCACATTATTGTCTGCATAGCTGGGTCAAACCATACAAAATTGTGTGCAAGTTCCCCGTGAAGGCCCAACAAGCTGAACCACTCATACCATGACAAGTGTCTCAAAACCCCATCTGGCAACCCTATTTATTCTTCATGGAAGCATCCAAAATTCCAAACTATGGAGGAAAAACAAAAGGAAGAGGTTAAAGGAAAAGTCGCAAATGGATCTTTCAATGGCTCCTTATTGGCTAGAGCCATGCCCTTGTGCCCGAGTGAAAGACAGGGGGATTTTAGGAGGCTGATGCTTTATTTTTTTTGTTTTTTTTTTTTGCAGGATTCTTTCAATTGGAGGAAGAATACAGGCAACTTGACACGGCCTACCAATTGCAAAACCAATAATTCAATTTCGATTTGGTAAGAAATTGGCCTCATCTGGTGCAGGCAGGGAATATTGAAGTGGCAAGTGTCGGACTGTTTTGTTTTTGTATCGTGGGGACATGGTTTTGGTCCCTTGTGTATTAGTAGTATATTAATAATATAGTAATGATTGTTTTTATAAATATATTAAAATAATATATTTTTAATTTTTTAAAAATTATTTTTAATATCACTATATCAAAATAATATAAAAAATTAATATAAAGTAAAAAACATAATAAAAATTTAGGTTAATGATTCTTCTTATTATTATTGTACTTTTACATAATTTTTTTATTTATAGATTCTATGGATATAAATTTTATTTTTATTAAAATTAATATTATTATATCTATATTTTTAAGTTAAGAAATCATGCTTCAATCATTTATGAACTTAATTATTTTATAAATAATTTAGTAGTAAAAGTTTAAAAATAAAGAATTTATTTTTTCTATAATCTCAAGTTTGAATCTCGTTGTTACTAATATAATGAAAATTAAAAATTTAGATAATTATTAATTTTAAAATTTATAAGATTAATGAAATATAAATTAATTCAAATATTTATATTAATTAAAAAAAAAGGTTAATGAGATGTTTGACCTTGCTTTCAAAAAAATTTCTGCTATCCTCTCTCGCACTATCTTCTGAATCTCTTTTGTGGAAGCTCTCTTTTTGTTGACTACTTTATGCCGTTAGACGGACTACATAAAATATATGCTATTTGTGGTTTGTTTGGGTTCTTCTTTCGTTTTTGTTGGCTGGTTTAGGAGTTCTTAGGATGAGAGAATTTCGCTATCTAAATAAGAAAATAAAAAGAAATCATTTCCTTACACTTGTTGTGTGGATGTTCTTCACACTATTCACATAACGGGATTTTGTTTTCTGATTACAGATTGAGAAGTCCAAAATGGAAGAAGAGAAGAGACTCGAAGAGGAGGATGTAGCTAAGTTGATCATAGACAGGGAGGGCTAATCGAAATAAGATACCGTTGATATGAAAAGGATAGAAATCGACCGAGGAAAATCAAGAATTGAAAGCAAACGAAACCAGAAAGGAAAACGAGACTTGTCTGCCAAAAACCCAACCGATCAAGGATAAAGGCATAAAACCCCACACAGCAGCTGATTATCACGCCACAATCCAAAAGTGGCCACCAAACCACACTAATCCAAGCCTTCAGACCACAGGCTCAAGACCAGAAATCGAAAAAAAAAAACGAGAGAGAGCTGCAGACGCGGCGAGATGAGCCAATTCAACTGGGAAGATGCACGAAAAGGAAATTGATAATTTCCAGGCAACCTTGATATTAACTATTGCAATCCACAGTAAATCACACTGAACACTTTTAGTTTTTTGTTAATAACTAGCCATCTTGCCAACAATATGCAGTGGGCATGACGACCTGAACTTAATCTTGTGTTAATGCTATGGAAGTGTTTTCTACTACAAAAATTGAAAGACAATATGTTGAATTTGGTATTGCAATATACTAATTAAAAGCTTAAACGGAAGTTGATCTTTTTAGCAAGCAACACAAGTTATTGGCCAAGTTTATTAACAAAAACAGAGGAACAAGTTGAAAGGTGATAAAACACATAAGCGCTAGCATTTGAATGCGAGCTTGGCGGGCTACGTTTTCTGCAATGCTCGGCCATCCTGTAACAGGGAAAAGTGTTGAGCTGTGTCAGAAGGGAAAAGATTGCGGAAAAGGTGCTAATGTATGAACAAAATTCGTTGAATAAAGGGTAAAAAGCGTTTCAATTAAACGAAGGAATCTGATTCATTTATTTTCTTCATTCATCTCATAATATTGAGTTCGTGGACGAGAGCAGTTACCGTCAGTCAAAAGTGTTTTGAAACGCAGACGATGCAGTTAAAAGGATATGTTGTTTATACGAACAAAAAAACAGAGAAAGAAAGAAAGAAGCTCGAACCTTTTTGACATAAATTTTGTTTCCTTTAATATAAACAAAATCCTAAAAACATAAAGCTAATGATAGGAAAAGGGAAATAGTTCATAGAAGAGATTGGACGAAAACGATTTAAATATACGAAAATCAATAAATTAAGAACGCCGATTTTTTTGCCCTTTTCCTGAAGAGTGAGCGAGAAAGCGATGGTGAGGAAGAAGTTATAAGAAGATGGTCAGAAAAAGCAGAAAGAATGATTTGTTGACTTATTAGCAGTTTTGATCCTCTCTCTCGCAACGATGCTGGAAAAGATGTCTCCATGTTACACCCTCAAATAAGGAGCCACGGAAGGAAGCTTAGACCCTCAAACAAGGTTGCAGCAGCTACTGAATTTCAAGGGTGGACAAAATCCAGCAAGTCTCCGCGTGTTTCTTGTCTAAAAGTGCTAGCATAATTTCAAAGGAAATGTCCTGGGCATGATAATGGTATTAGATATGTTTCGTGTTGTCATTTTCATGTCATACAAAGAGAGATACAATGCACCTCACTTTATTAGCCCTCGTTTCACTTTCAAGATTTGCTTCGAGGAGATCTTTTGTGTTTTTCCTTTTTTGCAGGTTTATCTCAGCACCAGACCAGTTATTAATCCTCCGACCATGAAGAAACATCCCAGAATCCCCTATGCACACGTTGAAAGGTAATGGGGAATCTAACTTTGGACGTGGAAGCCAATCGTGCCAGAGTTCGACCACTCTTATTCTGTTAAAGTCGAACCTTGGAGTATAGTGTTGAGAATATCGAACAGCAGGAAAACATTAAAGTCGGGCAGATATGAATTTGAAAGGCGACGGAAATCCCTTAAACAAAGCATCACTTGATATAACACTCATCCTAGCATCAACCGGTTTCAATTTCAACACTGTTCCGAGTGAATTGAAAAGTCACCAGGCTCACCCAACAATTTCTATTTCCAATGTAGAAAACCCAAAAAATGTTGCAGTGATAATGGATAGTCAAAAGGAAAGCCAGTCATAAAATGTTTTAGAAACCAATCCATGAACATTCTAATTGTCAGTGATAGTTTATAAAGAACATGACAATCAAAGAGTACACTGTTCTAAGTTACCCAAGTACAACAAGGATCTACTTCCCCCTGAGAAAAGAAATCCAAAAGAATCCGAGTCTCTTTAATTGTTCTTAAGGATAACTCGACAACAGAATTTCAAGAATCAGCTCAGAAACCAATTACAAGACATATCCGTGAGAAACTTCTCCTGCAGTGTAAAAAATCTTCATAATTGCTAAGTGGCTCGCCCAAAGGTTTTGAACGAACCTAGACTGGTTGTCTAAAGGCGAGAGTATCACAATACATCTTCTATCAACAATTTCACACTTTCATCGCAATCAGGATCAACTCTCACCAGATGCATTACATGATGTTCGTGTGTCTGTCATCAGAAACCAGAGAGAGGGTTCACGCAAAGGGAAATGCAAACAGAATCCTTTCTTGTTGCATGTTGACATGGCCTACCTTGCTATGTATTAGATTCAGGTGCAGTGTTAACAAGGCAGATCCAATCACACAGCTGCACATATTGACCCTGGAGTATCAAATAGAATTAGAATATTGACCATGGAGATATGATATCTTCTCTTTGAGAATAAACAGCAGCTATTATCAAGGCGGAAAAGGGCTAGCATTCATGCACCCAGTTTCTAGTTCATCATGTCAGACAGGTATGGGCAAGGTATCATTTTTTTAACTCACATCTGACCTTGCTTGGTGACATTAGAAACCAAGTCTTGGGTGGCAGTGCTTTTTATAGATGTCATGGGACACTGCCAACAGGCAGTATTATAACTGATTTGTGCATACATATAAGAATTTCTCTATCATGACTGAATCACACACTGTCAAAGCTCCATCAGGGTGTTACTTGAAGACTATAGGTTGGAACCAGCAAATCAGTTATATTATTATGGCCTCTTTCTTGCTCTTCCATGACTTCATCCTAATAAAGTTGTTGTTTGTACACATACACACACAAGAAAGAAAGAGACCTGTGGCCCATGAGGAGCAGCAAAATTTTGATTCATCAATGTGCTGTACATCAAGCCCAATGAACCATGACCCAGTACTGACATCATCATGGGCATATGTACGGAGAAGGGACCTGTAAAAACAAAATAAGTGGGTCAACTTGTTGAAGTCAAATACGTTCTTTTGTCATGCATATTAGCTAGAAAGTTAAAAATCTACCTGTTAATTGAAATAAACTGAGCCAAAGCTCGTGAAATGGCATAAATTTCACCTGATGCGTGTCGGAAATATCTGCACCATAACGAGATTTCTTAACTACAGATTTGAAGAATTGGCAGTGTATTTTATCTGCACCAGTTATATTATAGTAACTTTGATGGACTAAGGGTTTAATATATGCGGAGTGAGTCATTATTTAGACAACATAGCAGAGATGAACATAGGAAATCCAGCTACAATTGTGTTTAGCACCATGCTGCCAGAAAATTGGTTCACTTATTCACACATTAAAGAGCTATTATGGGATTTATGAAAGCCATGACAGAATAGGTGTTTTTGTATCAAGACCAAACAAACCATCAAAAGGCAGGCTTACCTTGCCATGCATCTATGCAAACTATAAAGAGCACAAATATCCTTCCATTATAAGGAATATGACAAAACCAATGCTCTATTACTTACGATTTTGCATCGCCGAATTTCCACCAGTCTGGTTCATACCATTTGTGGGTCCTATAAAATACATATAATATCAGAGTTCCAGATAACATTCTTATGAAACATTATTATTTTCTACACCAAGACAGGAGTTATTGTTGGATAAAGAATTTTGATCAAACTCACGGCTCAGAAAAAACTTCGCCTGATTTCATACACCCAATATAAGTGCGAGGTTTATCCAAGTGAGTAGAAAGGGTTGCTCCCAGGGCATCTGCACATCAAAGTGAAGGCTCAACAGCAGTACTCCGTTTGGAATGCAATTACATAGTTTTGCAGCATTCAAGTTCCAAAATAACCCAGGAGGTCAAGTACTACTCTCTCAAAATTTTGAAGCTGTATTCTTTATTTCTTGTTTCTATTCTCAACATTAAGACTGTTTGTTCAATTATTCACATAAATAATCCCTTTATAATAATAACCTATAAGGTCCCTTTTCTAGTAGTATATCACACAATGATGCCACATGCAGTTGGCCTAATTATCACAACAATGCTACTGAAGACTACATACCAATATTAACATAAACATCATCATTGACCTTAGCATAAAATTCAGCATCCCAGGTCTCCACAGCATGTATAAAGAATAATTTTGACTTTTTTGGTTGCTCCTCTGTGGCTTCCACTTGACCATCCTGTTGAGGCAAGAAAGGAATGTAAACAATACAACTAAAATCTGCTCCTTCAAATTACCATGTATTTAAACATGCTGTCTGACACCATTGGAACTTATTACCCCCATACACCAACCACTACGACATCAATTCAGGTTGCCTGACAGAAGCACAATTCAATTTAGTTCGTTTCTTAGTAAACTAGGATCTAGGCTGCATTGCCAAAATTATAAATTAAGATTGTCTACACCTGGATATTTAATGCTTAGGCAAAGAGCAGTGCTTATTATACTTCACAATTCAAATATCTTATAAAAGTTGAAAGATTAAGAAACTTAACTTCTGGTAAAGCAGAATTTAGTATAAATCTTTCCAGCATGCAAGGATTTAACAAGACCTTAAAAAGAAAATGTTCTTAAATTAATTCTAATTAACAGAATAAAAGGTAAACTTACGAGAACAATGAAGTCATTAGTCTGCCTATTTTCATTATCGATCTCCCTGTCCAAACTGTCTCCATGATTTGCACTGCAAAATGTAATGCTGACTTAAAAAACAGAATGACCCCAAGATTTTCTGAAGACAGAATTAGAAAAAGATGAAGCTAGTGTCTCTCTAAAATGAAAATAAATCATCAAACAGAAACCTTCTTCCTATTACGAATCGCAAAACAATGCCCTTTTCATCCTCCATTTTTTTTAGGGCTGCACCTGCACATATTGCAACTGTAGGTTAACTACCATCCAAAGAAGCAGCCAAAATTATATAGTAATACATTTAAAAGGCCTCAGATGTATAAAAGATGGATGCAACATAAGCTATTATCATAGAAGTAATCAGCCTTCAAACAATCCCCAAGGCCATTATCAGAGACCTTTCTTGGTACTCAATTAGCTATACCCACCAAATCATATATCAATTCTAGTAACTGTTAGTTTTACACTAGCAAATTCCTCTATGTTGGGAGCATACTAACATCCTTATAAATAGTACAGCTAAAGACAAATCTTACGGAAATGTTTAGCACTCTCTCAACATGAAAAACCCTGCCAAATTTCTGCTCAGACAAGTAAAACTACCGTTGCAAGAATTATGATGCCCAGACACCCCTCCTTTATTACAACATAAATCTATATACAATCAGCGATCTACATTGCACTCTACTGCGATGTCAAGAAATCCAACACCTATATCAATAACCACTACCAACTACACAAACAATTTTCCAAACTTGCATAGGGGCAATCAATTTTACCAGTAGGCATCCACGCCTTCCTAATAGCATCCCTATTCTTCTTTCGACCAAACGTTGTAATAATTCCAATAACAACTAAAATCCTTTTCTTAGAATGCCCATCACCCTTATCAACCAATTTGTTCGAAACAAAACCTGCCTGCCTCGCTGCAGCTAATTCCATCTCAACAGCTGATAACCTCTTCTGTTGCTCCCTAAACAGAAATAAATTAAGCAATTAACTCCAACCACATTAAATAATACTATAGCTTCTCAAATTTGACCCAACGTACAAAATATAAAAAAATATTTTTTTTAGCTCATTACCTGCAAGCTATGATTTTTAATGTATCATCAACAGAAACAGCAGATTTCCCCTAAAATAATAATTAAAAATGTTCATTAATTCATTTATCAAGTAAACTTAAACCCAAAAGAAAAATATAAATAAATTACACTAACCTGTCCAATTCTTTTATCAAGTTCTTCAACTAAATGTAATCTAGTCTCTGCATCCTGCCATAAACTATAATTACGAAACACTAATCAAACACTTAATTACTCAAAAATATTGGGGCTGTAACTATTAATTTAAAAGGGATTGACTAACCGGCCAGCAACATAAATTGTAGCCATGGTTGCAAACATGGCTAGCAAAAGAGAAGAAACCCGTGACCCGAATCCTAAACCGGATTGCCCCCGGCTACTTGATCCACCTCGAGTATGCATTTCTGCTAGCAACTCAATGTAGTTAAAAATGGATTGGATGAGTAGATTTGAGTGACTGGATCTGGATTAGTTGATGCTTTAACGGAGGCTTGAGAGAGGGGGAGAGAGGGTGTCCAGTCGAGAGATGTAACGTCGTAACTGATTCCTATTCCTAAAAATTGAGAGGTGTTTGTCCCTTGGTTTCGTTTATTGCAAGGATTAAAGGGAAAAAATCATTTTGATCCTTATAGTTTATATATTTATCTGAATCGTTTCTCATAAAAATCATTGTTTCAAATCAATCCTTATTCTTTCAATTTAGGATAATTCAAAGCCTTCTAAGAATCTGAACACCTTCCTTTGTTTGTGGTGGAGCTGATGTATTGGTAAGAGGTCACAGTGGCAGGGGGAGGCCACTGTGAAATCATTTTTAAAAAAAATAAAAAATCAGAGTATCTTTTATTTTTTTCAACGTTCATTCTATTGCATTACTCGAAAAGGAAAACAAAAAACTTAGAACATTATAATTAAATTAAAATTCGTGTAAAATTCAAGATATTTAGCTCTTATTCTTCCAAATTTTATTCTCGGTAAAAGAAATTATTTCAAATCTTTATATATATAAAAAACTAAAAAATATAGAAAAAATAAAATAAAAATGATTTTCTTCAAATAAAAAACTAAAAAAACTTAATAAAAAGAATTAAAAAAACTAAAAAATAACTATTTTTTTTCAAAAAATCCACATAAAAACTTATAAAAATTAAATTTATGAATAATTGATAACCAATGTCTAAAAGCCTACAAACAAGATAAATAATTTTAATTTGTGCTAGTTGATAGGGCCAAACAAGAAATAAACAAAAAAAACTCAGTATCAATAATGAAATACAGAAAATAAATAAGCTAAAAAGACAATCCCTAAACATGAATAATCGGAGCCTTTGTGAAGATCACCGAAGACGCTTAGTGTATTTATTTTAAAGGTGAAAGTTATAGTTTGGGTGTGAAATCCACTAAAAAAACTATAAAAAATAAAAATTATTAACTTTTATAATTAAATTTTATATATAATTAAATTATACCTAACCATAATTTCATCCATAAAACTCTCCTAAAAGTACGTATTTTAAGTAGATTTTGACCTAAAAATTAAACTTGTGTGCTTTACCGTCGCCAATTATTATATTAGGATGAGAGATCAAAAGTCGAGTCCCGTCAAAGGGGTAGTGCGCACCTTTTCCTCTCGAATTATCTTTATCCCTCGATCTGGCGAGATCCATGAAATCATTAGTCGGGTGTTCCACGTTAACAAGTTCCTAAGAAGCAATAACCTTGATCAGTATTGTTCATAGACTCTACTCTGGGGAGGAAATGGACTGCTAATTTTGAAGGAGCTGGTTCTAAAGAGCTTCTCCTTGTCTTTTTATATAATTATCATATTCTTTATATTTGATGAAGTAAGGCATGATAAAAATAATATAAAATAAACTTATTTATTATGGCAAGTAAATTCATTATCATTCTTACCCTCGTGTGTTAATTTTTGTCTCACAGAGGCAGCTATCTTGGATTAACCAAGTTTTGCAGTTTTATATAGAAATCCCAGTAGATTGTTAACCATGATTTATGAACTCTTTCAAATACAAAAGTAATACGTGTATATATATTATACACTGTTTTTTTATCATTAGAATTTTTTTCTAACTTTTTTTTTTTTATCATATAAACATAGGAGAGTGCGGTGAAATATTATTAATTGGAGTTAGAAACTCACAGTGTGTGCTTGTTGTTAGGCTTATTGGGAATTTGCGTGGGATGAGGCCCAGTCTCTGGCGAGTGTTTAGACTGGAAAGGAGTAATTGGTTAGGCTGGAAAGCCACAGTGCTGGATAGCAGGCTGGTTGGGCTGGCCTAACTGAACTTGGTCTTTTTTTCCTTTTCCTTTTATTTTTAATTTGATATCATCAATGGGGTAGAAGAAGAAATGACAGTGAATCAGTTGATTTGGAGATGCAAGAGAAATGGAAGTTGGCTGAAAGGGACAAAAAGAAGACCCGACAACCAGTTGAAGCTCCATATGAGCCTCCTAAACTGAAAAGAACTACCAAGTCCTTTTCATGTTACAACTCCGCAGCAAATTCTTGTTAATGTTGGTGAAAATTGTTGTCTCAGAATTTGACCCACCCTGTGTCGATGTAGTGGAGCTGGTTGGAATGTCACTTCCCTTCACAAGTCTCCATAATTATATGGAGCTTTTCATGCTTAATTAACATCAAGAGTTGTAAGGAGTCTTTCACATTCAATTACGTAATGTCAAGAAGCAGAGAAAATGGGAGTCTCAATTCAACTGACAACGGAGCTTGCATGACCGTATCGGCAATATGTATTTGATCTGCTCTTTCAGCTCCCTGCTTCCTTCCTCCCCTCCATTTTCGAGTTGATCATGTTTGATTGATTTTTGAGATGGCTGCTTTGAAAAATCGAGTTTCAATCATTGACTGTTTGTACTTTGTCGTTTCAATTTTTTAGGAAGTTGGGTCAATATCAGGAGGCAATGAAGGTTTAGAAATTCTTCCACGGCCTGCGTTTGTAACAATCACGGGTCATTTTGACCATGGCATAACTACTCTTATGGATGCACTACGTTGAACATCAGGGGCAGCAAAGGAAGCAGGAGGCATAACTCAGCATCTGGGTGCTTTTGTTGTGAGCATGCCTTTAGGGGCATCAATCACTTTCCTTGACACTCGTGGTAATGCTGATTTTAGCGCACTGTTACCAAGAGGTGCAGCAGCAGTTGCGCATAGTAAGTCTCAACCTCCTTTCTTTTTAATATTGCTAATAAAACTAATATTTAAATTTGCTATTCTAATTAGTTTTATTTTTTTGAAAACTTAATTTTTATACTTGTTATCTATAACTTTTAAAATAAATTTTTCTAAATATATTATTTTTTTAATTTGGATGTCCAGTCAATTTATATATATTTTGACTAATTTTATAGATTCTAAAATTTAAAACTATAAGTCTTTAATAGTTTTGAAGAGAATCAAACTTATAATTATTAAAAAATAAATTTAAAATTTGAATAATTAAATTATTTTTTAATTTAAATATATCTATTTTTAAATTTAAAAAGTTGACATATCAACTTATGCGAGTGACCTTTAAATATTTCTAATAGGACATTTTTCAAACGAATTTTTTTATTTTTAAAGATAGACATGTCGTTTCACACTTTTGACAGGAAACGTTATGTTCATGTTACATGATTCTTTTATTTGAAAGGATATTTATTGGACCCATATCGAGGACGAAGCTTACAATCTTTCTAGAAATAGCAACAATGATTCATGAGAGATAAATATACCCATTAATTGCAAGAAATGGCAAGTGATATCAAAACTCTCAACATGCTGTTGAGCGCTATATATAAAAAGCTTTAGAACACGTGGTTTCTATAAGATTTGACACGTTGGAATCCTTTGTCCTCGTTGAAAAAGAAAATAAAGAAAGCAATGATGGACAATATGTTGGCTAAAAAAGAAGTAGTAGAATTCACATGAGAATGTGTCAGCTGGCTAAAAATGGAAAATTAGGAGGCTGGCACTGTTCTAGAAAATCATTTCATTTTAATGCTGTAGCGTTCGAGATAATTTGAGATAATTGAGAATATAGTTGAGATTATTTTTTAAAGTAATTTTTATTTAAAAATATTTAAAAATAATATATTTTTTTAAAAAATTATTTTTATACAATATATCACAATAGTTTAAAAATATAAAAAATAATTTTAAATATATATTTTTACATTTTAATAAAAAGCAGGTTGAATTATATAGTCAAACACACTTTAACATGGAACAATAAATTAAGTTTTTGATTTATGAGGTATTTGAAATTGTAGTAATAATTAATTTTTAAAATATTTTTTATTTAAAAATATATTAAATATTTTTTAAAAAATTTATTTTTATATTAAAATATCAAAATAATTTAAAACTACTAAAAAATAAATTTAAAACAAAAATAAATTTTAATTTTTAATAAAAAAAGATAAAATTCAATGTGAAACACGCAGTTATAAAAGCATGTAGATGCATGTGAAAGAATCGAAGGTCTGTAGATGCATCATAGAAGGTCTGTAGATGCAGACCGCTTGACTCTTGCGAGTCTCATTATTAAAGATCTCACTTTCTTCTCATGGCCGCGGGGAGTGCACGTCGACTCTCGCTGTAGCGTAGGATAAAAAGGACAGTTGTGGTTTCCCCCCCGTTTCCAGGTAAATGATAAGGAAAGGGCATGGTAGAATAATCCCTGCCACCTCTGGTGCTCTGCCATAATCCCATCCATCCCTAGTGCTTGCGGGGTTCAATCCCAGACGACTGCCACCACATCAACCACCTCTGGTGCCTCCGACGTCTGTGCAGGCTTATGCCAGTATTTTGTCGCTGTGCTCACAATTATCTCATACAGTATGGCAATCCTCCTTCTTATGGGACCAATCCATCATTGGAGCTACCAACTAAACATTTACTCCTGTAACATTCCACTGAAAATTTATATATACAAAAATTAACCTGAAAACCTTAAGATTTGATCTTTTTTACTTTGTAATCTGAAGAGTTAATTTTTATTATTTTGTTAAAAATTTTATAAATAATTTTGTTAAAATAAAATAAGTTCAATGAGCATACTGGATTCAAGGTAATCAAGATTGATAATTAATCAAGTCTAATAAAACATGTGTAATTTTTGTTTATACTAATTGAGAGTTTGGAAATACGGTTTAAAAAATTTAAATTTTTTGTTAAAAATTAATTTTTAAAATATTGTAGATCATTTTGAAACACTGCTTTCAAAAATAATTTTTTTAAAATAAAAAAAATATTTTGATGTATTTTGAAAAGAAAAATACTTTAAAAAGCAACCACAACTACACTCTCAAACAGACGCAAGCAAAACTATCCTTTATTTGGAACCCATTAATGGTTTTAGTTAATTTTTTGAAATGTTTTTATAGTATTTGTAGTTTTTTTTATATATTTAAGTGTTTTATATTTTTTTTTCTTAGAGAATTTTATTGTACTAATGTATAATTTGTATGTTAGAGTTTGTTTGAGATTTAAGAGAAATTGAATTTGATTTTATAATTTAGATGTATTATAATTGAACAGAAGTGATGAGTTATTTAATGCATATC